ATTTAATGTAACCATGAAAATTACTAGTATTTTTTTCTTTTTTATTTATTAATGTTTTCTTGTCCAGGATGCGGCCAACTTAACCGACAGAATCAGTGAATTGCCACATGACATTCTTGGTGGTAGCATATTATCTTTGTTGCCTCTGAAGGAAGCTGCAGCTACTAGTATTCTTTCTAAGTGATGGCGTTATGAGTGGTGCTTTACTACAAATCTCTATTTTGATAGTGATGATATACTTTGCGTGACTTCCGTGCCATGTGTTGAAACGGTAAATCTTTAAACGGGAATTTAAAAACCAAAAAAGTTGTAGATACGTCAATTGAGTCAACCATGTGTTGAAACAACATAGAGGCTCAAAAATTAACCAATTCAGAGTTTGCCTTGATCTAGATCGTCGTTTTGCAAGTTCCATTGATAAATGGATTCAATTTGCAATGGAAAAGAGAGTTCGAGTGTTTGTGTTGGACTTTTTGTTACTGTATGGTGTTATGTACAAAGATTCCTATGCTTTTCCATGCACACTATTAGGTCTTGATGAAAAGGAAAAGGGGTCCTCCTTGACGCCATTTCGTTGCGGATACAGTGGTTTTGAGTTCCTCAGGGTTCTTCATTTGGAACACGTTGATGTGACCTAAGAAGTTGTTGAGTACTTCATGTCCAATTGTCCAACTCTCGAATGATTATCAATACATAGTGACACAAACTTGGTTGATTTAAGAGTTGTCCGTCCATCAATTTCATTGAAGTTCTTATCGATAAAATATTGTCTTCGCCTTGATAGCATTGAGATTTGTGACGCAAACCTTGTGTCATTTGTCTATGTTGGACTCAAGATAAACTTGCTTCTCAGTAACATGCCGTCGCTTGTTGAGGTATCCCTTTATGAGTTTTTGGAATGTTCCAGTGGTGCTGATTTTCTGAGTCTTGCCTTCACCCAACTTTCAAGCTTTCTTTCTCAACTAGAGACCCTCACGTTGAATATCAATGGAGACCCACAAGACAAGAGGGAACTGTCATACGGTGATGAAGCTGATTTCTAAGGTTTATAGATTGGAGATCGTAGTGAGAGACAGAAGTCGTTTTCACTCCTTCAAGGACGGCTCTTGTTCATGCAAAGATTACTGGTGGGTTAGTGGCTTCTGAGAGAAGTGTATAGCACCTATAAGTTAAAAGAGATCAAAGTCATCAAAGGATATACTGACACTGATCCACAAGACAAGAAGGAAAGCCAAGAATTTGGCATTGAGCCATATTATTGATTATAAATAAATAAATTTGGCAATTGATTCAAAGGAAGCAGGGGAAATGATACAAACTGAAAATAAACTTCTAAAACAACAAGAAGCAACTGAGTAGGCAGATGGAGAATTGAAGTGCTGCCAGAATTGCATTTAAGTACACCCAATTGAAATTGGTTGTTGTCAACAATTTCTTCATTCTTTTGACCCCCCAAAATGTGTACAGATTATACATGCTGGGAATTTTCTTCATAGCTGGAGGGAGCATTTCAGATAGGATGTTTGTAAACGTTCGTAATGAGCAAAGGAAGCAGATATTTTTGGAAATATCCGAAGCTGTTAGGAGAGAAAACGAGAGACACGTAACGTTTGGCGGGAGAGAGGCCAATGGCACCATATGAAGAAAAAGTGAACAAAGTCATATCTCGACTGTGCTGCTGAGTGATATTTCCAAAACTGTTGTTGACACTACTGATATATTCATATTTCTCATCTGATGCTGACTGTTGACTGCTGAGCTGAGATTGTTGATACTTTTCCACAGCAGAAAATCCTTCTCTCTCATTTTCTGCACCATATCCATGGCGCTCTCTGCAGCATTCTATACATCTTCACAACCATCCCGTGCTCTTTTGTGCAGAACTCGTGAACCCAATTTCTCTCAGACCTATCAGTTAGGGCTTCAAGCACCCTGGACTACTCCAAGCTCACTGTGGGTGATAAATCTTCAGCCCCATCAAAGGTCAGAGACCCAATTGTACTTTTTCTTTGTTCTTACTTTGTCACTTTGCCCATGGGTTTCAAAGTTGAGGTTTTGATTGTGGCTATGCTTCTACATCTGCATAAATCGTGAATGTATTGGGAACTTGAGAAAATTCCACGAATTTGGTAAGTGAGCTAGGGGAACTCACAAAACTAAGCAAGAAATACTTAGAATTTTGGTCTTCTAAGCAAAAAATACTTAGAATTTTTGGTTTTCGAAGCATTAAAGTGCGTATATTGATCTTTCTATTTGTTAGGATTTTTTATTTATTTTTATTTTTATAAAAAGGAAAGTCGCTTCGATGCATATCTAAATGGAAAATTGGATGTCAGAAAAGATGAATTGGTTTGTTTTCTGAAGTATTTTACTTAATTTTGTATATCTGCCACCCAAGAGAAGAGACTCATTTATTATCAATGTGAAACACAAGTTAATATTATGTTCAATTCCATGAAATGGTACCTGTGTACCTTTGTTTATCAGTCACTGAACCAAAATATCACTAGAAGTGGATCCCACTTAAATGGTAACTACCAACATTTGCAAACTAAAATTTTGTTAATTGCAAGGATATAGGGATCAGTTTAGAAGAAACACATTGATGTTAAAATCCAGTCAAATATGTTATTGTGTTTGTCATTTTCTTTCTAATAATTATTTGTTGAGTCCAGTACTATATGTGTCGTCCCCTTGCCTCACAACTGATTTTACTTTGTTTTAGAGCAATAGTTGGCAATGGAAATTCAAGGAAAATTCTATTAGCATCTAGTATGAGGAGCATGAAAAGGAGAGAGAGGGTCCTTCTAAGAACATCTTGATCATACCAACCATTTCTGATGTAAGCAGTGTTGAAGAATGGAGATAAGTAGCAAGTAATCTTGTTGAGCAAGATGGTAATGTTAATTGGCGAGCAACCATTGTTGATTGGCCTGATCTGGGGTTCTCTGATCGGCCGAAGATGGACTACACTGCTGATGTCATGGAGAAATTTCTGGTTTACTTCATCAATGCACCTGATGGTCCTATAAGTGGCTCAGGTTGATGAGTAACTACTTTTTTTTGGGTTAATGATTATGATGATGCCACTACTGTTTATATGCGTTCTGTTTAGAGTGTTCTTAGCATGATTCATAGTCGACCTGTTGTTCCATCATGCATATGTTGTGGTACTCGACCTTCTTAACTAGATATAGTTACTTGAAACACATCATGCTTCCCAACCCCCATCGGAAAAAAGTAAATTTACTGATTGTTTTTCTTTATGTGGTCAGCCTTTTCTTTTCTTTTCAAAGTTTACTTGCTAATAATCTCTTGCTCTTAACCAGAAAATGATTTTGTGGTATTTGGAGGAGGGAATGCTGCCACTTTAACTATTCGTGCTGTAAAACGTGGTGCGGTGAAACCTAAAGCCATTGCTGCTATTGCACCCACCTGGGCTGGTTCCCTTCCTATTGTGTTTGGTCGAGATTCTAGCTTGGAAACAAGGTATGCTATCTGAAAACATATATTAAATGATTCTAGTTGAGAATTAAGCTGTAATTGGAAACCCAAATTGTGGATAACTATTCTGCAGCAAAATCTATGGTGCAAGACCACTAAGTCAAATCTCTCCATGTTATTGTGTGTTAACCCTTCCCCTTGCTTCTATCACATGTAGTTAAAGTCCATACCAGGTTTTTCTTGATCTATGACCTGACTGATCTCTCCTTTTGTTAACAAATTTCCTAGGTATGGACTGCTTAGGGGGCACCTTACGAGCCCCTGCTGTGGGCTGGATGATGTATAACAGGCTTGTCAGCAATAAGAAGTCAATTGAATCTCAGTACAAATCACATGTCTATTCAAATCCTGACAATGTGACTCCTGGAATTATCGAAAGCCGATACGCACTGACCAAGCAGAAAGGAGCTCGCTATGTGCCTGCTGCTTTCTTGACCTGGTACAAACACGAGAGGAATTTGTTGCACTCTTTACAGAGATGAGCAGCCAAAAGATCCCAGTTCTTGTCCTGTCGACTAAAGGATCTTTAAAAGCAGATATGGAAACTCTCAGGGAAGCTGAGGGAGTAAGTAAGTTTGTTGAGGTTCCAGGTGCTCTTCTTCCTCAAGAAGAGGAGTATCCTGCTATGGTTGCAGAGGAGCTTTATAAGTTTTTGCAAGAAAACTTCGAATTCAAAAACTAAAGTTCGTTTTAGGTTAGCAGTTGTATGGTTTTCCTATACCACAGTTTACCCACACATTCTGCATGCAACACTGTAATTTTTGCCCTTAAAGAAAGATTGGATGCCAATATGCATCTGTACAAACATTTTTCTCTGTTCTTTTATTGATGGACTTGTGCAAATTTAAATATACTATTCTGGTCACCATATTTGCATACACTTTATCTGCTCTAAGAGGCTAGCTATGACCCAGATTGGCTAAGTGATCAGTAGCTACATTGAGGATGAACCCAAAATCTCTTAGTCTTTAACTTCCGTTTTCATCCAAAAAAAAATTTAAATCTCTCAGCGAGCGACTAGAATATTGAGAAAACTGTGTTTTGCTTTGCAAATATATTTTTGGCTTTCTTTTCCGGAGCTGTCTGTGCCAGATGAACCCTAATTAAGATCCGTTACTCCTGGTACCTGATCATTAATTGTACCCCTACACGCATCAATCAACACTAGGGCGCACAGTTTTGAGGATGACAAAGACCCACAACAAAAAAACCAAAATAGGATTTTATGTTCAATTTTCTGTCTTGTTCACAGCGAATGGATACTAATGTCCATAAGTTGCCCCTAATCCTAAAGAAACTAGTAGTACATCCATTTTTTCTAGGTCAGCATAGAAATTGAACACTGTATCTTCCACGATGTGGTTCACATCTTTTATGATATTTAAGTCCACAATATGTTCTGATTAGGACTTAGGCCTGCGTAATCTGATCTAAAACCCTGTTTACACTAGTTTGATTAAGAAAATAATTAATCTCTCTCCATATAGGAATGGAAAATGTGTAACATCCCGATCCAAATTTAAATATTCGTTTAATTTAATTAATTTAATAAATTATGAAATTACAATCTTGCTAGTAGGGGTATTTTGGTTATTTTTTAATTCATAAGGATTTTGAGGAAATGAGTGGCACCGTTGCGTAGAACTCGTCGATACGAGTTCGTAAACAGGCGGCACGTTCAATTCCGAGTTGTAACGAGCATGTAAAGGTCTAGAAATGAAATGGACATAACTGGAATTTTTTTTTATTTGTACTGTAGCTACAGTACATGCGCTACAGTACCAGCCTCCTATTTCTTCTTCTCCCTCGCGAGAGAAACCAGATTTTTCTGGTTTTCTCTCTCTCCACCGCGCATATTCAATTTCAATTGGAGATTTCGTCGCCGTCCGGTGTCCGATTTCAGTGAAATTGGTTACAAAAGTTTCGTATCGATGCCCTTTACCTAACCCAGCCCATTTCCCAGCTCAAAAACCCAAGGATTCGCAGCTGGAACGACTGGAAGTGTCGGCGATTTTCGAAGTTTCCGACGTCGTTTCCGGCGACTCCGGTCACCGTTTTTGTCGAGTGAGGTATAAAACTTCATCTACTCTTCGTGATCTATTCATTTATGTAGGTATTGTAGGTCGATTTTGAAGTTTTACAGATCGTTCAATGTACCCATATTATGTCGACGGTTTCGGCTTCGTTCCGGCTAGTTCCGGTTAATTTTTTACCGTGGTCCAAGAACAAAAATCACTCCCTTGTTAGTCTGAACCTATTTGTATAGGTATTGTAAGGTGTTTCGAGAATTTTCCGTCTTCGGAATTTTCTCAAGACACCCATGCGCTGGCAGTGCGTGGGTCATGGGTTGGTGGCCCATTGTGTCATGTTTTGAACCCCATGTCGTCCCGAGCACGACAGTATGCTCGGATTTGAATTTGGTTATCATTTGACAGTCGATCGGATTATGCATATTAGGCGTTATTCGGTTCGATATGTTCGGACCGTTGGATCGACTCCATTGTCAAATATGTTGATCTAGGAATCTCTAGGATCGTGTAGGAATTTGCAGATCGTGAATCTGAGTCCCGGATGCTCTGATTCAATGACTTAAAGTTTGTGTTAAACGATAACCGTCCGATCGTGCGATTGCGAGCGATCCGACCGTTCAATTCGGACCAAAGTTGCAGGACATGTATAATAAACCTTGTGGAACCCATAGAAACTTTCGGATTGAAAATCGGAGGTCGTGGGCCTCGGGGGCCCAGTTGACCAAAAACGAGAAGTTTGACAAACTGTTGACCACGGGTCTTTTGGGACCGTCTCATCCTGTGTGAAGGTACTAGAATGGCTGAAGGACTTTTCTTTTCGGTAGAAAATCTCAACCCTAAACCCTTTCATTGATTTGGAAAATAGGCTATATCGCTAGTAAGTGGGCCCGACATCAGCTCGATATTAGAAATACCACAGGATTCGTCCCAGATTCCGAGGAGTTCTTGGCTGGTCCTGTCAAAATGCATATGTGATTAGTATACTATGGCCTTTGATCAACTGCATGCCATGCACAATGATACAAATTAGAGGGTCCACGTAGTTGACAATCTTTAGGCAATCCAATATGTTACTTCCCCCTCTCCTCCCTAGCGAATAGAGGTGTCAAACGGCACGAGTATGGCTCGATTAAGTAAGGTCCATTATTGGTGGGATTAGAAAATAAGCCTAATGGACCAGGTCGACTAGCGGTCCGACATGGGCCGTGCTTGGCTCGAGCCCACTTCAAGCCTGACCCGGCCCACTTAACTTTTTTTTTTTTGTCAAGGCCCACTTTACATAAACCATCTACACAAGGCACGAGCCCATCCCAAGCACAACACGAGCACAACTCAATTTAATGTGAACTTGGATTTTGGATCAATGGTTTTGATAAATAGGCTAACATGACTTGGTCCGATTATTCAAATGGACCCGTCAAACCCAGCCTGAATAACTTAGTGACACTATGTCGACTCGGTCCTTTTAACACCTCTAGTCTGAATGACTCCTATCGAAAAACATTATAAAAACAAAAAAACAAAAAAAAGGCAATTTAGACATGGGCAAATAAACTATCCTAGTTTCTTTAAGCCCAAAAGAAAGATGGGTCCCAGGCCCCAAAAAATAAATTTTGTTAAAAAAAAAAAAAAGAATTATAAAAGAAAACAAGAGATGCTTCATTTGAAAAATAGGTGTCCACGGTGTTTCATCCTCTGTTTCCAACAAATGCCATAACCACCAGCAGTGTTGTAAAATTTTGCAAAATAAATAAAATTGGGAATGGAAGCACGCGGCCAATCAACTACTTTCCCTCTTTCCTTTGAGGTCAGAAGAAAAGTCCACACACACTCCATTATGTGGGACCCATGTGTCAAAGCGGGAGGTAAGAAGCTAACTGAAATTGTGCGCGGGCAAGGGAGGTCTGTGAGTGAGCACTGTAAGAGTGAGCGTATCAGTGTATCAGACCAACCCAAATGAAACGACCCATTTTAGTATAAATTCTTCACATCTTCATATTCTTCTCATTTTCACTATCGATTGGAAAAGCTCTCTCTCTCTCTCTCACAAAGATGGATGAGAAACTAAATGTTGCTTTAGGATGGCTAAGGGAATATACAGCCATGACGAACAAGATAGAAAATTTAGTTCATTGTCTCGAAGATGTGTCTTCTAAATTGACGCAGATGGAAACCTTAATTGAAACCGTGCCTGCTGAAGAGGCCGCTACTGCTATAGCCGCATTTAAAAGTGCAGCTAAAGTTGCTAAACAGGTCAGAGATGTTCTTAATATGAGTGAATCTTTTAGGGAGACCTGTTTGGAGAACCTTCTCGAGTTTGAAGAGGTGTGCATCAGCACTATATTTGAGATGTGGACGCTAGTCCATCTGAAACTCGAATATGAATGGAAGGTGGCCATCTTCATCCGTCTGAATTGCAATGATGAGCAGAATATCATTAGGCTGGCATCTAAACACCAAATTCAAATAATTGGAAATCCGTGAGTATGTATATATGTGTGTACTTTTGATTGCAATTTTATTTTTCAATTATGCTTCTATCATTGAGTTTGGGGATTGGGGTTTGATTTTGGGTCTGCTTTTTTCATTGTATAATCTTTGATTGATTGACACAGAAATTGTGAGATGGGGACAACATCAGCAGCACCTACCTCTTCCCATGCCTCCTTTTATAAAGTAGCTCTTCTTGGAGCTGATGGTGAGATAGGTGAACCTTTGGTGCTTTTGATCAAGATGTTTCCCTGGATCTCTGCCCTCCATCAATATGACACGAAAGATGTGAAGGGTGTTGGTGCTAATCTCATTCTTTTCTTTGTTCCTTTTTCAAGACCTTTGGGTTATAAACACCCTTCTGAGATCAGCACCAACACCCTTCACATCTTTCGTGTCATATAGATGGAGGGCAGAGACCCAGAAAGACATCTTGATCAAAAGCGCCAGAGGTTCACCTATCTCACCAACAGCTCAAAGAAGAGCTACTTTATAAGAGGAGGCATGGGAAGAGGTAGGTGTTGCTAATGTTGTCCCCATCTCACAATTTCTGTGTCAATCAATCACATATTATACAATGATAAAAGCAGACCCAAAATCAAACCCCAATTCCCAAACTTAATGATAGAAGCATAATAGAAAAATAAAATTGCAATCAAAAGCACACACATATATATATATATACTCACGGATTTCCAATTATTTGAATTTGGTGTTTAGATGCCAGCCTAATGATATTCTGCTCATCATTGCAATCCAAACGGATGAAGATGGCCACCTTCCATTCATATTCGAGTTTCAGATGGACTAGCGTCCACATCTCAAATATAGTGCTAATGCACACCTCTTCAAACTCGAGAAGGTTCTCCAAACAAGTCTCCCTAAAAGATTCACTCATATTAAGAACATCTCTGACCTGTTTAGCAACTTTAGCTGCACTTTTAAATGCGGCTATAGCAGTAGCGGCCTCTTCAGCAGGCACGGTTTCAATTAAGGTTTCCATCTGCGTCAATTTAGAAGACACATCTTCGAGACAATGAACTAAATTTTCTATCTTGTTCGTCATGGCTGTATATTCCCTTAGCCATCCTAAAGCAACATTTAGTTTCTCATCCATCTTTGTGAGAGAGAGAGAGAGAGCTTTTCCAATCGATAGTGAAAATGAGAAGAATATGAAGATGTGAAGAATTTATACTAAAATGGGTCGTTTCATTTGGGTTGGTCTGATACACTGATACGCTCACTCTTACAGTGCCCACTCACACACCTCCCCCGCCCGTGCACAATTTCGGTTAGCTCCGTGCCTCCCGCTCTGACACGTGGGTCCCACAGAATATAGTGTGTGTGGACTCTTCTTTTGACCTCAAAAGGAGGGAAAGCAGTTGATTGGCCGCGTGCTTCCATTCCCAATTTTATTTATTTTATAATGCTGCTGGTGGTTGTGGCGTTTGTCGGAAACAGAGGATGAAACGCTGTGGACACCTGTTTTTCAAATAAAGCATCTCTTGTTTTCTTTTATAATTATTTTTTTTGACAAAATTTATTTTTTAGGGCCTGGGACCCATCTTTCTTTTGGGCTTAAAGAAACTAGGATAGTTTATTTGCCCATGTCCAAATTGCCTTTTATTTTTTTTCGGTAAGAGTCATCGAACAATTTGCAAATGACCCACCCACTAGTGTAATGGTTCCCAGATGACGGGAATTGGGTCAACCATGTGTTGAAACAACATAGAGGCTCAAATACCAATTCAGAGTTTGATCTAGATCATCGTTTTGCAAGTTCCATTGATAAATGGATTCAATTTGCAAAGGAAAAGAGAGTTCGAGTGTTTGTGTTGGACTTTTTGTTACTGTATGGTGTTATGTACAAAGATTCCTATGCTTTTCCATGCACACTGTTAGGTCTTGATGAAAAGGGGTCCTACTTGACGCCATTTCGTTGCGGATACAGTGGTTTCGAGTTCCTCAAGGTTCTTCATTCAGAACACGTTGATGTGACCTGAGAAGTTGTTGAGCACTTCATGTCCAATTGTCCAACTCTCGAATGATTATCAATACATAGTGCCACAAACTTGGTTGATTTAAGAGTTGTCCGTCCATCAATTTCATTGAAGTTCTTATCGATAAAATATTGTCTTCGCCTTGATAGCATTGAGATTTGTGACGCAAACTTGTGTCATTTGTCTATGTTGGACTCAAGATAAACTTGCTTCTCAGTAACATGCTGTCGCTTGTTGAGGTATCCCTTTACGAGTTTTCGGAATGTTCCAGTGGTGCTGATTTTCTGAGTCTTGCCTTCATCCAACTTTCAAGCTTTCTTTCTCAACTAGAGACCCTCATGTTGAATATCAATGGAGATGTTAGTATTTTTAATTGTGATGTGTTGGTTTTCTTTTCTTTTTGTTGGATTATGTGTCCCCTTTGATTACTCTGTGTTTGGCTTTCTTTCAGTATAGCTGCGCGTTCCCTGTTCCTACATTACCAAATCTGAAGCGTTTGGAGCTAATAGTCCCAGCCGATGATCAATGGGCTCTGAATAATTTAACTTCTTTTTTGAAAGCATCTCCTTCCTTGCAGAGACTTGTACTTACGATAGCTAGATATTCCTTGAAGGGTTATGAATTTGCTGATGAACGTTTGTTGTACGTTTGATATGCCTCAGATTAATAAATTGTTTTATTTGTTGTGCAAGTTGGAATTCTCACCACCACCATAAGAGCCAACAGAGAAGTCGCAGTTCTTAACACGCGAGTTATGGGAGAAGTTGAAAATCTTACTATTTGAGCCACTGAAGATGTTAAAAGCTCCTGAATGCCCGCATGGTAACCTCAAGATAGTAGAAATAGTAGGGTATCGTGGTCATATAAATGCTGTTGAGCATGTCATGTACTTGATAGAAAATGTTGCTGCACTCTAGAAACTTGTTATTGATCCTGTAACGCGTTGGTGTTATCATCCTACCGGTATCAATCGGGATATTAAAGATGTCAAGGAGGAAGGAGAGGTGAGAGATCATGCTATGCACCAACTTAAACAGACGGTTCCATCAACTGTACAATTTCTATGCCTCTCTAGTTAGGGCAGCTAGCTCAACATGGAACCTATTCTTTTTCATTTCCCTTTTCTAATTATGCGTTTGGGGTAAATACTTTTGGAGTTTTTGGTTTCTTTATAGTTGTTAGGATGGTTGTGCATACATTTAACTATTTGAGTCTCATTGAAACGTGAAAGCCTCTTAAGCCTCTGTGGATAATAAAGGTAATGGTAACTATCTTCAGCTAAAATATACAGGGGAAGGGTCGCCTCAACATAATATCTAAAGAGAAAACAAACAAATCATAGACCAGGCATGCAAAAAATCCAGCGATGTGTTGGTGCCACCTTCATCGGGAATTATCGTCTGCGTGAAGTTCCACCACTTGGGAAATACACTTACAGAGCCTCATTATCCTCATATGTCCAGATTCAAGGCTCTCAGCTGCAGCTCTTATTTCAGCTAACAGTGGCTGTGGAAGCACTACTTCTGCTGCAGATACGGAAGGCTGTATCTGATGCGGAAGGATCTCTGAAGGATAAATCCCACTGTCCATACACCAACAAACATGTCACTATGTATTCGAAACAATGTAACACATATATCGACATATAAAGCACATCGAGGTACGAATGGCATAGAGAATGTTGACAGACTCAATCCCAGCAAGCTGTTTTTTCAACCGACAATAAACAAGGCACAAAGCAACAACAAACATTTGTATACAATCATAAGTAGTTTCACATTGGTTTCTACAGAAGCAAAGAGTTCTCCGTCACATTGAGGGCCTAGGAAGCAGACACATATTCATGATGGCCAAAAGAAATTTGCAGCAGTGACATGCACTGCTTATTATACGAACCATTCACCAAGTACGATATCAAGCCAATTAAAATGGCATAAATTGCCAATTAAATAAGCAAAAAAGATAATTAATGAAGTTGGACAGGACTGTACCTATTCAAACATGTCATGTCAAGAGTCAGTGTCACCTTTCTACCGCTCTTACAGTTAAGGAAACAAAGCTGCATATCAAGCTGCTCAGCTACAAAACAAGAATATATACCAAAATTTAAGTATTTAAGGTGGATTAAAACTAATTCAGTGAATGATGCTGAAAGTTCAGATAAACAAAGTGATTATCATAATGAGAACATATTTTGTTACCAGATGGAGTTTGAAAACTTGTCTGGATCAAATTATAAATCTCAGATCGTGCCAGGTCCACTTCCTCAAACACATCTAGCAAATTACATAGTAATGAATGGGTCACCTGCATTACAGAATAGACCAAAGTAAAAGAGCAGCCTAGAATGTGGAGTTAGACACATATTATCCAATTTGACAGTCATACATAGTCCACAACCTATAGGAACAAAAATGCAATATAACAATCTCCTATAAATTAATGCACCTAAAATTCCATTCACCTAAATGGCAACATACTTGTGTTTCTTGTGCCAAATATCTCGAATCAACACTTTTCTTGGCGGCCTCAAAATTTAGCACAAAAGCAAATGCAACTTGAGCATCCATGTTTGGGAAGTTCTGATGTACAAAAGAAAAGAAAAATTAAACCCTTAAGAAAAGAAAGAAAAAAGAAGAGAGAACTTGTTGACTTCATTACCTTTCTGATTTTTACATCATTCAATTTGTTTGAGAGGACTATGTTTGATGCTGGACCCACTGTACCCATAAACCTATTTACAAATGTAAACACGTGTTGAATTTGGTAATAAAGAAGAAAATAAGTAACTTAGCCTCAAGAATGAATATAATAGAATAAAGAAAAGAAAGCCAAGAAAAAGGAGCAAAGAAAAGACCTTTGGTTGATGTAACCATGATAGCTGAGATGAATGTTATAATGACCATTCTTAACCTCAAAATGATCAACATTCCATTGCTGTTGAAATGACAGGTGTCACTTAGTGAGATAAGACATTTATTTTGGTCTCAAGAAAATCCTAGCATGAATAAGAAATACCTGCAAATGCTGATGTATAAACCTGCAACACGTTCTTGTCTCGAGATGATGATTAACTAAAGAAATAGTATCGGCACAACTTGGTTCTCCTTTCAACTTGATATAGGTGTGAAAGAAATTGATTAAGCTCTTTATTTGTCTATCTAAAGCTTTAATTTCCTGCCTCATTGTGCTCACATTATTACAGGAGCCCTGACAAATAAAAGATATATACAAACAAAAATTCATAATCTGAAATTACTAGGTTATCTTCACATAAATTTTTTTATAGCATCTATAAGCTGAACTCGTTGTTTGACAAAAACAAAGGAAGAAGAGCATCCACAGCCTATTATTTTATCATTCTCTTATGCTGTATTCATCTTATTTAATTTTCTGGAACTATTTGTAGCAGAAACATGTTACTTTCTTCAAATTCCACTAATAGTTTTATTTACTGCATCTTTCTTAAAATTTGTTTATGCATCTTAGTGAATAAGCTCTATTTGGTTCAAGAAAACTTAAAACAACAGTACTTGTAACGCCGTTGATTTATTCCCAATAAAGTAGGATCTGTATACAAATTAGTAAAATCAAATTTCTACTACAGAAAAACAATATTACGAGTGATATGTTAAAAATACTTAAAAAATTCATTTACTCCCGTCTTCTCACAATGTTCAGGACAATTTATTTAGGATTCTGTCATTTTGTGTGCCCTATGTCCTTGCTTCAAAGCTTCAAACTGCCCAAGATGGGAAGCAAGCTTGCTTTTATTCTTAGTTATAATAAGATCCCTAGCTTTTATTCTTATTTATAATCTTTGCAACAGTTTTCTCAACATATTTAATATCCCTCTTGTTAAAAAATTAATGAATACCAGACAAAAAAATTCCAGAGCAAAGGAAACAGAAAACAGATCCAAAATCTCAAAATTGATGGTTACCTCTTGTTCACCCTCAGAACTAACTAAAGACGATTGACGATGACTATCATTAACATGAGTCTCCTGTTTACCAGGTTCAGACTGACACTGGGTGTAACTCAACTTCAGCATTTGACACTTCTGAACTGCAGAGCTTAAGAGCTGTACTCTACTCTGCAGGAAAGTATGAGGCCATGTGACAAGCTGTATGCATATGTAGATATGAAAAACATTAGAGAGCCAACTTAATTTGTTTTTTTAACCTGTAACTTATCGCGCTTCACATGCATTAACTGCAGCTTTGCCTTTTCATATACTAATTTAGAAAGCAGTAATCTTGCTTCAGCTGCCCTGCAAAGGTTAATGTCAATGCTTATTAAGCTAAACAATATCCCAGGACAGGTGAAAACCCAAACTACGTAGTCAAAACATTCATGGATAAACAACACCACCTTTTATGTCCAACACTGATGTAGTCAACCTTCTGTACACAGATATAAAATATCAGTGTTAGCAGAAAAGGGAAGAAGTAGATGTTATATTAGCTTTATAGGATGCAGTGTTCCAAGTATAATATCTAAATATGTTCATGGCAGAACCTCATTTATCATTTAGTTCAGCAAACCTGAGACTGGACTTTAGAACAAAGTGCCTCGTATTTGTTAGCCTTCAGTAGCAGAACCAACATATCTTCAAGCACACCAATCTACATGATAATGATAAAATAATAATGAGACTACAAGAAAACATAGGGAAAATTGAGCATGCGATGGCTAATTCTATCACCTAGTTTAAATCTTGCTTGGAAGGAAGTAATGTCTTAAAAAAGAAGGCACATACTGCTCTTAAACTTAGTTTGCTTGTCAATGGAGAAAGCAGTTGCTCTGTATCTCTGGAGAATTTTACTAAAATCTGCAAGATAAACTCTGAAGTCAAAAATATAAAATGAAAATAAATGGTTTTATATCATCTCTACCAGAAAACCTGGCTATTCAAGTAGATTAGCACAAATCAGGAAATAGTACACACACATCAGTCCAGCACTTCCATGTTGTATCCGCCCCAAACTTCTCTCTGTCATTGTAATCTATATTTGACTGAACCAACATGAACTCTGGATCATAGTTCTCATTTCTGTGAACTTTCGGACTCTGGATTCTGGGGGTCTTATATACAGAGTCTCCATCATCAAGAATTATTCCTAGGTTTTTTCGTTTCCGTCCAACAGAATTCTCTGCATCTTGTTCAGAAAATGGACTCTGCAAAATATGTAGTCCCCGATAACAATCATCATGCTCATTTGAATTTGACTCATGAGATACTAGGTCTTTCCCAACAAAGCGTTGCATATTCTCAGTGTCTACTGCAAAAGATGAAACCAGCCTGAAGGGGCTCTGTGTTGGCTCTTTTCTTGAGGGACTCCAAGTTGGCTCTTTTCTTAAGGGACTCCGGATTGGCTCTTTTCTTGAGGGACTCTGAGATGGCTCTTTTCTTGAGGGACTCTGAGATGGCTCTTTCCTTGATGGACTCCGAGTTGGCTCTTTCATGGCAGGACCACCAATTGGCTCTCTTGCAATGGAACTTCGAATTGCCTCTCTCGAGATGGGACTTTGAATTGGCTCTTTCATGAAGGGACTACAAATTGGTTCTCTTCTAGGACTCTGAGTAAGCTCTTTCCTGGAAGGACTCTGAGTTGGTTCTTGCCTGCAGAGACTCTGACTTGGCTCTTTCCTGGAGGGACTCTGAATTGCCTTTCTCCAGGAAGGACTTGGAGTTGGATTTTCCCGGGGTGGACTCTGAGTTGTCCCCTTCATGGAGGAGTTCTGGGCTGACTCTTTACTCGAAGGGCTCTACATTGCTCATTTGCCAAACAAAATGTCAAATTTCTAAACACCAACAGAACAACTAATAATGATATTTTTTTATATAGAACAGCCTAGTATTTAACTGCAGAAAACTGATGCATGGGAAACTGTAACAAAGCAATTGTCAAATTTGAGTGAAACTTAGCCCATCACCCAGCCTACCGAGATTGGAATTAGCATGGAATGCTTCACATGACCAGCCCATGCACAATCCCAAGCAAAGCTGGGTGGTATAAAATGTAGGCGCAATGCCCATGTCTGTTAAAAAGTGAGAAAATATACAGAGACTGACCTGAAGGGATGGTTGACTCGTACTTCTGCAGACATATGGTTTAAAATGTGGT